AAAGAAGGAGATATTAAAAGCACAGTTGGATACAATTCCAGGTAGGGGGGAAAATGGAAGGCCATGTGGCTGCACGAAGAGCTTGTGAAGGACACACAGAGGAGATGGGAAGAGGGATAAGGAAGTACAGACCAGGGGCCTGAACTGGTAGAGTTGGGACCCTGAAAGTAAAGGCTCAGCACAAGCTGAAGTTGGCAAAGGATGCTAAGAATAACTAAAACCCAAAACCAGGAGGCCCCCAACGGAAACGGTGCACCTTGCTGTGCCAAGGAAAATGCTGCAAAGCTTCATGGCGGTTCTTCTGGAGCAGGAGCTCTGCAGAAGGAATTCAGATTAAGGGGTGAAAACCGCCAGAACCCCTCAGCATTGTCAGGACATGCAAACGTGGTGCCAGTCTTGGATCAATGCTACCCTTCTGTATGGAAGGGGCCAAAGGCCTTTGAAGAAGGATTGAAGGAATGAGCCCAGCTATGTTCAGCCTGAGAAAAGACCTCTCTATGTGTGCTGTATGACAGCACTTTCAAAGTGCTTGAAACTATGTTCCAAAGAAGGCAAAATATGGTTCTCTGTTCTAGAAATGGGAATTCTGACGGGATTATGTTAGAAAAGGGCAGATTCTGGCTGAATGTTATAGAAAAAGGAACAAGGAGGCATTTTGGCCAGGACCTTACGTCCCACCATTCTGAGAATCCTGAGAAGTTTCACTTGTCAGATTGTCCAGCCCGATGGAAGGACTCTGGTCTTCAGATGGTGGGATGTAAGGTCCTAGCTGAAATGCCTCCTTGTGTATCTCTTTGACCTGGAGCACTCTTCCTCAGCCTTACAAGGATAAAGGCTGGTGGCAATGTGATTTAAAAATTGTCCGTAACTGGGGAAGGGTCTGGTATACAAAAGAGAACAGCTTAACTGTGCAGGCTGTATTCAGGGCAAAAGATCCAACAGTGTTGACAAACAGCCATCCTTGATCAAAGCAAAGCAGAAAGCCATGCTGATCTCCCACACATTAAGTTTTCTTGTTTTATTTTGACACAAAAATGTACAAAATAACAGGTGGGTGGTTGCAGTTGTTCATATTAAAAATCTAAAAGGTATGACAGCCACTAAGAATGGAATCAGAATTGAAGGCTTAATGATGGTGCTCACACCCATTCATTCATCTCCAATCAACCTTTTCCAGATGTGTTATTTCCATCTCAGGCAAGAGAGCACCCCTCCTTCCTTCTCACTTTCCTGGCATCTGGGCTTGATTGTGGATCCATCTTATGACCCCTGAAGGCTTGGAAGAAACCTTCCTCCGGGCTCCAAAGAGATTATACGCCACTCTGAGAGGGACCTGGAACCAAATCTTGTCCTTCAAACTCTGGTAGCTTCTTAGAACTGAGGTCACTCCAGCACGGATGGGACTGGAATCCGCACAGCACAGTCACTTGAGGCAAGAGACTAGACCCTGCGCTTCCGCCAGCACTGAATGGGGAGCATCTTGGAATTGGATCATCTATTGTAGTTCTTGCTCTGTCTCTCTGTCTCTCTCTATGTATGTATCTATATATCTTTATTTATTCTATATATAT